ATTAAACATTAAGGATGATAACTATACTTTGTCTTTTAGACTAAATCAAAGCCATCTACTTATGGCATTGTACCGTTTCTTTACTCGCTACTAAAAGTACCTGCACAGTGACACCCTAATAGTCACGGCATCACTTGCGAACTCTGTGCCCTTCATACCTGTATTAATTCTAGTATGCTTTAAAATTTGTCCTTTGAAAGTTTATATATTCTTAGAGCAAGACCAGCAATCTGGATACCAGTGAGGTTGTCAAAAGCCATGCAAGGCTCTCCCTGTGATGGTCCTGGTGCAGAAGCTCACTGAGAGAACATTGAAAAGAACAGGTCAAATGGTTGGACTGGTTATTGCAGTTATTATGGGAATCATTGCATTGACAGCTACAGCAGCAACAGCTGCAGTGACGCTTCATACGGAAACCTAAACTGCTGAATTCGTTAGAGTGGCAAGAACATTCAACAGAAGTTTGGACTGAACAAAACAAGATTGATAATGAGACAGTGAAGGAATTAACTGAGCTAAGGCAAGTTGTCATAGTGTTAGGGGATCAGTTAGAAATTTTGAAAAACAGATGAAATTAAAATGTGATTGGAATGTCTCTTCCTACTGTACTACACCCTTAAGATTTAATGATAGCAAGTATGGTTGGGATAAGGTTAAGATGCATTTGATGAGGTTGTCCACTCTCTTTGTATCTATTCAATATAGTTCTTGAAGTCCTAGCTAGAGCAATAAGACACCAAAGGGAGATCAAGGGGATACAAATTGGAAAAGAAGAAGTCAAACTCTCACTGTTTGCTGATGATATGATAGTTTACATAAGTGATCCCAAAAATTCTACCAAGGAACTTTTACAACTCATAAACACTTTCAGCAATGTAGCAGGATACAAGATTAACTCAAAAAAAAAAAAAAGCAGTAGCCTTCCTGTACACAGAAGATAAAAGGGCTGGGGAAGAAATCAAAGAATCAACACCCTTCACAATAGCCACAAATAGCATAAAATATCTTTTTTTTTTTAAAGATTTTATTTATTACATATACAATATAGTGTTCTGCCTCCATGTATGCATGCATGCCAGAAGAGGGCACCAGATCTCATTTTAGATGGTTGTGAGCCACCATGTGGTTGCTGGGAATTGAACTCAGGACCTCTGGAAGAACAGTCAGTGTCCTTAACCTCTGAGCCATCTCTCCAGCCCAGCATAAAATATCTTGGAGTAACTCTTACAAAACAAGTGGAAGACTTGTATGACAAGAACTTTAAATCTTCGAAGAAAGAAATTGAAGAAGACACCAGAAAGGGGAAAGACTTCCCATGCTCTTCGGTTGGCAGAATTAACATAGTAAAAAATGGCAATCTTACTGAAAGCAATCTACAGATTCAACACAATGCCCATCAAAATCCCAGCAAAATTCTTCAAAGACCTCGAAAGAATGGTACTCAACTTCATTTGGAAAAGCAAAAAACCCAGGATAGCCAAAACAATCCTGTACAATAAAAGAACTTCTGGAGGCATCACAATTCCTGACTTCAAACTCTACTACAGAGCTACAGTCCTGAAAACAGCCTGGTACTGGCATAAGGACAGACAGGAGGACCAACGGAACCAAATAAAAGATCTGGATATCGGGCTGGAGAGATGGCTCAGTGGTTAAGAGCATTGCCTGCTCTTCCAAAGGTCCTGAGTTCAATTCCCAGCAACCACATGGTGCCTCACAACCATCTGTAATGAGATCTGGTGCCCTCTTCTGGCCTGCAGGCATACATGCAGACAGAATATTGTATACATAATAAATAAATAAATAAATATCTGGATATTAATCCAGACATCTTCAAACACATGATCTTTGATAAAGAAACAAAAAATATCAAATGGAAAAAAGAAAGCATATTTAGCAAGTGGTGCTGGCATAACTGGATATCAACCTGTAGAAAAATGAAAATAGACCCATATCTATCACCATGCACAAAACTCAAGTCCAAATGGATCAAAGACCTCAACATAAAACCAGCCACACTAAACCTCATAGAAGAGAAAGTGGGAAGTACACTTGAACGCATTGGCACAGGAAACCACTTCCTAAATATAACCCCAGCAGCACAGCAGCACAGACACTGAGAGAAACAATTAATAAATGGGACTTCCTGAAACTGAAAAGCTTCTGTAATGCAAAGGACATGGTCAACAAGAGAAAACGGCAGCCTACAGAATGGAGATCTTCACTAACCCCACATCAGACAGAGGTCTGATCTCCAAAATATACAAAGAACTCAAGAAATCGGACACCAAAAGATCACATAATCCAATAAAAAAAATGGAGTACAGACCTAAACAGAGAACTCTCAACAGAGGAATCTAAAATGTCTGAAAGACACTTAAGGAAATGTTCAACATCCTTAGTCATCAGAGAAATGTAAATCAAAACAACTCTGAGATTCCATCTTACACCTGTAAGAATGGCCAAGATCAAAAACACTGATGACAACTTATGCTGGAGAGGTTGTGGGGTAAAGGGAACACTTCTGCATTGCTGGTGGGAATGCAAGCTGGTATAGCCTCTTTGGATGTCAGTATGGTGATTTCTCAGAAAATTAGAAAACAACCTTCCTCAAGACACAGTAATACAACTTTTGAATATATATCCAAAGTATACTCAACCGTGCCACAAGGGCATATGCTCAAGTATGTTCATAGCAGCATTGTTTGTCATAGCCAGAACCTGGAAACAACCTAAATGCCCCTCAATCAAAGAATGGATAAGAAAAATGTGGTACATTTATACAATGGAGTACTGTATAGCAGAAAAAAATAACGACAGCTTGAATTTTGCAGGAAAATGAATGGAGCTAGAAAACATTATTTTGAGTGAGGTAACCCAGACCCAGAAAGACAATTATCACATGTACTCGCTCATAGGTGGTTTTTAAACATAAAGTAAAGAAAGCCAGCCTACAAACCACAATCCCAGAGAACATAGACAACAATGAGGACACTAAGAGAGACTTATATAGATATAATCTACATGGGAAGTAGAAAGTAGAAAAAGAGAAGATCTCCTGAGTAAATTGGGAGCACGGGGACCTTGAGAGAGGATTGAGGGAGGAGGGGAGAGGCAGGGAGGGGAGCAGAGAAAAATATATAGCTAAATAAATAGCAATAAAAATATTTTTTAAAAAAGATGCATTTAATGGGTTGCCCTACTTCTTCTCAAATGGTTTATGCTTTACAGAAAAAAATTAAAGAAACTTTTGCAAAAAAGTTACCTGATACGACAGGAATGGATATTATAGAAGGCCTATAGCATACTATAGCATCATTCAACCCTATGAATCACTGTAATAGAATTCTTATCCTAGCAGGCGTTGCTCTTGTCCTAGCAATAGTAGCTTTATTAGCTTTAACATGTGTCTTATCCAATGTTATGCCCAAATCCACAAAGTCCCCCAAAAGCCAACAAGGAGACTGAGTCCTGTATGTAAAAGCAAAGAGCCTTTATTTTACGCAAGTTTGCAAACTCAGTCTCTCCACAGTCCAACATATTGGAATAAACTAAGAGCCCCGGGCTCAGTTAGAGTTGGGTTTTTATAGTAGTAAAGGTGGGGGTGAGGGGTTTCTGAGGTTCAGAACTCCTGATTGGCTGACATTTGTCTAGGGGTGTCCTGGTGAGTGTGCTAGCAGGTGATCCTATCTACAGCGGTTGGAACGTTCGGCATTTCCTTTGGATGATCTGGTCTTGAATGGTGCTCAGGTAATCTTAGTTTATAATCTTTCCTGTAACCAGGAAATTGCTTCAGGGTAGGCTACTGAGAGTCAGGCCTCCATTAAATTTATTGATGGCTGAGTGATAATAATGGTTATACCCTGATCTTCCTCAGATATTAAGAGGACGCTCCACAAATTGGCAACAAATCCTTCAAAAAGACTTCATTAAAAAGACCTTTGGGACTGGAGAGATGGCTCAGCAGTTAAGAAAGACTGCTGGCCAGGCAGTGGTGGTGCATGCCTGAAATCCCAGCACTCAGGAGGCAGATGCAGGCCAGCCTGATCTACAAAGCAAGTTCCAGGACAGCCAGGACTGTTACACAGAGAAACCCTATCTCGAAAACAACAACAAGAGTAGCTTTGCTGTAGTAGAGGGACTGAGTTCAGTGCCCAGGACCCCTGTTGGAGGGCTCATATCAGCCTTTTACAGGCACCTTCACACATGTGTCATACAATTACACAGAGACTTTCATGCACTCAAACAAACAAACAAACAAAAGACACCTGTAAAAGGTTACCTGCTCTTTCCAATACCGCCTCATCCTATTATCTGGACACATACAGAAATTTTCTATTCTTTCAAAACACATCAAACCCCTATCTAAATGAGACATTCTAACCAGAACAGCTTGCTCGCGCTCTCTCTCTCTTTCTCTGACATGGTTTCCCTACCCCCATCACCTTTTCACCTTTTCTCCCTCCACCTCAGCACTGTTTGTTCACATAGAAAGAATGTCTCTTGCTCTGTAGTTCTTCAGCCTCCCCGGCCTCCCCACTAACTGCTCTGCAGCGTGCATGCTAATATAAGAAGCTCCAAACGTGGGTGCTGCTCCCAACAACTAGCCCCTTCCTAGACTGGATGTGTACATAGATGGAAACAGACTCCCCGTTCCTTCCCTGCTTCTTATGGCTAAGCCAGAGCCCCCAGCGAGAAAGGTAAAACTTAGGTCTTCCCTTTGCTCCCTGAGGGTGTCTATGGGGAAAGGACACTCTATTGGGCACACCTTCCTGGTGGCTCACTGTGAGCCTGCAATCTGCCCACACAGAATCACGTATGTGAGTAAAGTTCCTGTTTTTCTACCTGAATTCTGCCTTAGTGTCTAGTTCAGCCAGCCAGCCGGCTCAGCCTCTGCAGCTGTCACCTATGCTCCTGCCGTTGCCTTTTCCCTCTCAACCTGACAGTGTGTACATATGTCAGGTGACAGTTTTCAAGAACATTGGAAGTCTATGCAGTGAATCAGCTCCTTTGTGATGGGAGGGCCTCTTAAACTTCTGATGTTGTGTGAGATACCTGGATTTGTAGTTATAATGCAACAAGGGTCTAGGCTGTGTGGATCTATTCATGGGGCAACTGAAGGGCTACAAGATCCTGACCGTGGGGTTAATCGTTCTGATTTTGGTGAGTACTTTCCTTGCCTCTTATTGGCATCATTACTGCTTCTCTTTGTTTGGATTGGTTAAATACTTTAACATTGGAGAGTGAACTGAGGGAAGCACTCATTCTTCCTCCTCTCACCCCTGAGAGACGACATCTGGGAGCGTCAGCTGCAGGGGAGAGCATCATCTAAGAAGCAGTGTGAGCAGCTGTGTGTTGGTGTCATCAGGGAATCTAAAGTCAGGAAGTCCCCAAGGAGAAAAAATAGGAGTGAGTCTATGGACTTTAGTTGGGAAGAAATGACCAGATGTTTGCTTCCCCTAGGTAGGGCAGTGCCAACAGACAAAAGAACAATTCTACCCAAGTCTAGATAGCTTAATAAGGGGGTTTATTGGGCTTACTTAAGGAGCACACATAATCTCCAAACAACCACATCAACAAATGGGCTCCACAAACAACTTCCCTATAGCTGCATAAATGGAGCTCTCCCTGCTCCAGCTGCCACCTTCTGCATGTCCTAGCACCTCCAGACACCGTGAGAAGCTGGAGCAGAACTGCAGAGACCTGGAAAAGGTTCAGGGTGGGGGCAGCTGAATTCCAGGGGAGGATCTAATGACCCTCTTCCACAGGCAAAAGTCTAGAGATTGACTGGCCCTTGTTGAGGCTGGCTTGCCTGTCATCACAGTGGCTCTGATGGAGATGGTCATGGCCCTGTTCCACATCAGCAATTCGAGTTCTCAGTTCTCTTGACTTTAGAAGTTGTTCTCTCTGTCCCAGTTTAAAAGAACAAAGTCTTTTGGTGTCTGCTTCTGTTTTTAGCCTGGAGGGAAATAAAGTCAGGGAACAGAAAAGGTCTTGTATACACACACACACACACAGGACTGGGTGAGTAAAGGGGTCAGTGAGAGTGATAGAATGAGTGACAAGAACGGGGGTGAATGTGGTCCATATGCATTGTATATGTGTATGAAACTGACACCGTAAATAAGAAAGAAATTAAACCCTTCCTGGAGCAAAAGCAAGAAGCATAACCCAGTGTTTCCTCTTTGAAGCTGCGTACAAGAAAAAGTCAAGACTGGGAGGAGGCTCTTCCTGTCTGTCTGTCAAAACTGAAATTTTAACTCATGGGGTGTTGTTGGTATTTAAGCAGCAAGACCTTTTTGCATGAAAATGTAGATTTCTAACCTTTCCTAGAAAATGAATGGTTTAAAATATTAGAAGACAAATCGGACATGATTCTGGGAACAATGAAAGAGTGAAAGAGATTAAGAAAAGATGAATTCCTTCTTTCAAAAGATGTTGATTTCTGGTTTCACTTCCGTAGCAACTTTGTGTTGTGTGAAAGTGCAGGCTTCTTTTTTTCTTTTTCTCTTTTTAAAATTGATTTAAAAAAAAAAAAAGAATCTTTTCTCATTTTACATACCTATCTCAGTTTCCACTTCCTCCCCTCCTTTTGCCCCCCCTCCCCCGCCACCACCACACAGCCCCCTAGCCACTCCTCAAAGAGGGTAAGGCTTCCCATGGGGAGTCAACAAAATCTGACACACCACTTTGTGGCAGAACCGAGGCCCTTCCCCCATCTAGGCTGAGCAAGGTCTTCCTCCAAAAAGAATGGGCTCCAAGATGCCAGATCAAGCACTATGGATAAATCCTGGTTGGTCCCACTGCCAGTGGCCCCACAAACTGCCCAAGCCACACAACTGTCCCCCACACTCAGCAGGTTCAACCGCTATCAATTCAGAGTCAGTGAGATCTCACTAGCTCAGGCCAGCTTTTGCTGTGGGTATCCCCATTATGGCCATGACCCCTTTGCTTATATTATCACTCCTCCCTCTCTTGGACTGGTCTCTGGAAGATCAACCCAATGCTTAGCTGTGGATCTCTGTGGATCTCTTCCATCAGTTGCTGGATGAAAGTTCTACGACAACAATTAAGGCAGTCATCAGTCAGATTACAGGGGAAGGCCAGTTAAGGCACCTTGTTAGGGTCTTAGCTGGGGTCATTCTTGTGGATTTCTGGGAATTTCCTAGTGCCAGGTGTCTCGCTAGCCCCATAATGGCTCCCTCAATCAAGTTATCTCTTTCCTTGTTTGTCCTTTCTGTCCTTCCTCCTTCTTGTCCGTCCCATTCCCTCATATTCTCCCCCTCTCTTCACTTCTCCCCTCCTCTCCTTCCCTTCTTCTTCTGTCCTCCCTTCTCCCTCTCTCCTCCCAATTATCTCAGGAGATCTTGTTTAATTCCTTTTCCCAGGGGGATCCATGAATGTCTCTCATAGAGTTCTTTGTAACCTAGCTTCTCTGGGGTCATGGACTATAGGCTGGTTATCCTTTGTTTTACATCTACTATTTACTCATGAGTGAGTACATACCATGTTTGTCTTTCTGGGTTTGGGTTACCTCACTCAGGATGGTTTTTTTCTAGTTCCATCCATTTGCATATAAATTTCAAGATGTCATTGTTTTTTTACCTCTGAGTAACACTCCATTGTGTAAATGTACCACATTTTCTCTATCCATTCTTCACTTGAGGGGCACCTAGATTGCTTTCAGGTTCTGACTTTTACAAATAATGCTGCTATGAACATAGTTGCAAAAATGTCCTTGTGGAATGAGTGTGCATCTTTTGAGTATATGCCCAAGAGTGGTATTGCTGAGTCTTGCGGTAGATTGGTTCCCAATTTTCTGAGAAACCATCATACTGACTTCCAGAGTTGTTGTACAAGTTTGCACTTCCACCAGCAATGGAGAAGTGTTCCTCTTAACTCTGCATCCTCTCCAGCATAAGCTATCGTTGGTGTTTTTGGTCTTAGCCATTCTGACTGGTGTAAGATGGTATCTCAGAGTCATTTTTTGCATTCCCCTTATGGCTAAGGATGTTGAGCGACTCCTTAAGTATCTTTTGGCCATTTGAGATTCCTGTTGAGAATTTTCTGTTTAGATCTGCACCCCCCCCCCTTTTTTTTTCTTTTTTTGGATTTTTGAGACAGGGGTTTCTCCGTAGCTTTCGGTTCCTGTCCTGAAACTAGCTCTTGTAGACCAGGCTGGCCTCGAACTCACAGAGATCCGCCTGCCTCTGCCTCCCAAGTGCTGGGATTAAAGGCGTGCACCACCACCACCAGGCTTGCACCCCACTTTTTTATTGTATTATGTGGTAGTTTGATGTCTAGTTTCTTTAGTTCTTTATATATTTTGGAGATCAGTCCTCTGTCTGATGTGAGGTTAATGAAGATCTTTTTCCATTCTGTAGGTGTATGTCAACTTCTTTGCCATCCCCTCAACCTTTACACATACTAAAAGGAGTTAAGCTGTAACGTACATCTAGTGTCCAAAGAGAAAACAAAGACATGCGCCTACGTGACTATAACACAGGCAAGCCAGAGCTGGCCCTCCACGTAGAGTCTGAGCATCTGGGAGGCAGAAAAAGAGAATTATGAGTTGGAGGCTGACCTATGGAACAAGCCCTAGGCCAGTTCCTAAGATCTGTAGCAAAAACGCCCAAGGTAGGAGGAGAAGCACTCATGAGTGTAATCACTGGAGTGCAGCTCAGAAGAGCTTTCCTCTCCCTGAATCTACAGGCTGTTAAGGGAAGCTGTGAGGAGAGATTTCCTTCAGTGGTGGAGCCTCTGGGAAATTTGCCTATGCGCTTGTTATTCACCTTAATTAAACTAATTCAGACACACAGAGGCACGCGAGCATGCACATACACACACACACACATGCACGCACACACACACACGTGCACACATGCACACACACATACACACACACACAGAGAAAAGTAGAAGGAGGATCAATTGGAAGTGGAGGGGGACACATAACAGAGTAATGGGAGGGGGTGGAAGCTCAGAGGTTTAAATACTTGCTGCTCTTCCAGAGGACTTGAGTTCAGTTACCAGCAGTCATGTTTTCTGGCTCACAATGACTATAACTCCAGTTCCAAGGGATCTGACACCCAATTTTGACCTCTATAGGCACCTTCACACATGTGGCAGAACGCACCCAAACACATAATAAAAATAAATCTTAACAAAAACATTAGAGGATTGGGCATAGTGACAAATGCCTTAATCCGAACACTTGGCAGACAGAGGCAAATGAATCTCTGAGTTTGAGACCAGCTTGGTCTAGAAAATAAGTCCCATGTCAGACAATGTTACATAGTGAGTCTTTTTCTAAAAATAAAATAAAAAACAAAACAAAAATCTTAGGGCTGGTGAGGTGGTTCGGGGTAAAGGTGTTTGCTGCCAAGCCTGGTGGCCTGAGTTCAGTCTCTTGAGACCCACATGGCGGAAGGAGGGAAATGGCTCTCTAACATTGTCCCCAGAGCTCCACATATGTGCCGTGAAATGTGTGCCGCCACATACATGCACATAAATAAATAGATGAAATAAATTTTTTGTCGATTGCATTGGGTGGGTTACTCAGTCTAGGGGTTTGTAACCCACCTTGCAATCAGTTATTCCAGGGTCTCGGAGGGGGCGCTACCTGGAAGGGAATGAGCTAAGACAGAAGAAGGAGGCCAAGCATATTTGTCAAAGCCTCCCGTTTATTAGGGTCATGGTTGCTGCTTATATAGGCCCGGGATGAGGACTTTGAGGGGCAGGGAAACTGGATTCTTGCCGCGTGTTCCAGGTCACGTAGGCCAGGAAGTCACAAGTTGCCACACCTGGTTCCCTGGATAGCTGGAATGTGAGGCGGGTTCTGCTAACAGATAGCTCTCCATCAACAGCTTAATTGGGTGTGGGGCAGGTTCTCAATAGAACATAATTATGGGTGTGGGGTTCTCTGCAGACTCCCCAGGATGATGGTTCCTGTAATTTTAGGGGGGAAATGGCTCGTGACAATTTTTAATAAAAAAGAGAGATGGAAGAGGAAAGAAAAATAAAAATTAAGAAAATTACTATCATCAACAGATTTGAATTTCTCTCTTTTACCAAGGTATCCAGCATTTTGACTTATAATAGTATTGTTAATTTTGAAGAGTCATAAGAAACCATGTTTTTATGAGCACCATGTTTTATAAGGTTCATACATTTTGCATCTATGTTACTATGTGAAATTGTTATTTGTTAATTTTGTCTCATGACCTCAATCCAGTTTATGGATATACCATGATTCACTTAACCACTGTATTGTTGGTAGAAATTTGTTATAGAACACATCTTTAGTCCTAGCATTCAGAAGGTAGAAGCAGGTGGAGCTCTGATTTTTGTGGCTATCTATGGAGCAAGTTCCAGGACAGCCAGGACTGTGCAGAGAGACTGTCTCACAAGACAAAGAAAGAAAGAAAAACAAAAACAAGAATTTGAAAAAAGAAAGGAAGGAAGAAAAAGAAAACTAGAAAAGGAAAGCAGGAAAATTAAAAGAAAGAAATTTGTGTTACTTTCAGTTTGGGGATTCCTTCCCCTCCCCCCCCCCCCGTTTTTGAGATAAGAGCTTCATGTTTCTCAGGCTTGTCTCAAACTTGTTATATAGCAAGTTATATAAGAACAACGTCAACAACTCCCCCCTCCATCATTAACGTTTGGCAGCATTAAGTTTGGAATCCAGAGCCTCACATATACTAGACCTCTACCACTGACCTTGAACTTCTCATCCTTCTGAGTTCTTCTCCCTGGGGATGCCATTGCAGCAGGCACCAGCAGGCACCACCACACCAGGAAGTAGAATTCAGGACTTTGTGCATGTTAAACGGTCGCTCTATTAACTGAGATACAGTCAGGAGGGGTCTTCAATGCTGCTACTGTGAACTTTCTTTACTTTGAGATGGGGTTTCTCTGTGTATCCCTGGCTGTCCTGGAACTCGCTCCATAGATCAGGCTAGCTACAAACTCACAGAGATCTGCCTGCCTCTGCCTCCCACTGCCCAACTTACAGTAAGCTTTCTATCCCATGTATCCTAGTGAATACCATATCGTAGCACTGAGTATTTACCTGTGAGATGAATCGCTTTGTCCTAACATACACATCCATTAAAAGATGAAAATAATAGCTATCCAACTTTCATTAATATAACTTGAGAGATATGGTTGCTTTCTATTCTTACCAATATTGTTACTTATCAATTGTCACTTACATCATTTTTATGAATACATAGAGCAATTCCAAAGTGGTTTTATTTGTTTTCTTAATAATTCAGTAGAGGATCTAGTCATAGATTTCTTAGTTATTTAAATTCTCTTTTATTGAAAAATTACTGTACTGTGTATGCTGGCATACACTTTTAATTACAGCACTAAGGAGATATAGGTTGGCTGATCTCTGAGTTTGAGGTCAACCTTGTCTACAAAGTGAGTCTTAGGACAGTCAGAGATAAACCTTGTTTCTTTCTCTCTCTCTCTCTCTCTCTCTCTCTCTCTCTCTCTCTCTCTCTCTCTCTTTTTTTTAAGACAGGGTTTCTCTGTGTAACAGCTCTGGCTGTCCTGGAGCTTGCTTTGTAGACCAGGCTGGCTCCCTCCTAACTCTGCCTCCCAAGCGCAATGTACACAATGAGATCCTGAGTGCTTGGGTTACAGAGTCTGTAAGCATCAGTGCTACTGTTCTCCAGCACATCAGATAATGCCAACACTGGGAATAGCGAGATGGCTCAGCAGGTAAGGAAGCTAGTTGTCAAACCTGATGGCCTGAATTTGATATCCTGGAAATGGTAGAAGGAGAGCTATGACCCTACAAATTGTCCTCTGATCTTCACATACAGGCCATAGTGTGCAAGTACAATAGTTTGTCTGTACACACACACACACACACAGACACACATACACACACACACACTGTTTAAAAAGAAAAAAACTAAGAGGCTTTTGTAGGTAGAGAGATGGCTCAGTGGTTAAGAACACTGTCTGTTATAGAGAGAGTATCTGGGTTCGGCTCCCAGCACCCATAAGACAGCTTACAGCCTTTTGTAACTCTTCTGTTCTTGGGCACCAAGGATGCATGTGGTATACATGTATTCATGCAAGCAAAACACTCATGCATATAAGTCTAAAGAAGTAGGAGGAAGAGGGAAAAAAGGAAGGAAGAAGAAGAGGAGGAGGAATAGGAAGAAGGAGGAGGAAGAGAAGGAGAAGAAGAAGAAGAAATATTCCAGAGTGGGGCCCAATTTGAATTTCCCTGGTAAAATATGGTGAGTTCAGTAGGACTCCCCAGAAATTCGAGCAACAGTATCAACCCAGTCCTGAACTGTTTCTTTCAAATAATGGTCATGGTGACCCAAATGCCAGGCTTATGAATGACAAATAGAACAACATAGGTAGACAGGACTGCTGGGTGCTACTTGGCCAACTGTGATACCTCCTTCCAGGAAGAAAATATGGCACACACAGCACACTGGCATATCCCTCTTTCTTTTCCCACAGGTGTTCTATCTCATGATGTCTTGGCCTGAGACCATGAACCATTGGATCCCACCACCCCATCGTGCCTCTAAACATGCCTCTGAGCCCAACAACTGGAACTCTCTCCCTCAAGAACTCACCAACCTCACCAGCCTTCTGTACTGGCCTCCAACTGGTAGCGACAAGGATGACTTTTTGGCTTCTACCAGTCCCCAAACCTCTACCTACCGCTTGAAGGGTCCTGCTCAGGCCAACTATACTCTGGGAAGTAATCTAGAGGTCATTCTTGTGGCTAGGGACCACCAGGGTAGGCCCAAGACTCATGGTGGAGATCTGTTCCGGGCACAGCTGTTGGGGCAGGAGTTGAAGGCAGGAGTCCCAGGGGAGGTGAAGGATCTGGAGAATGGCACATACCTCTTGTCCTTCCCCCTGCTCTGGGCTGGACCGGCCCAGATACAAGTGAGGCTGATCCACTCCAGTGAGGCAGTTGGGGTCCTACAGAGAGTCTGGAAAGGAAAACGGGCCACCGTTGACTTTAGGGGGTATTTTCGAGGCAGGAATGGCACTCAGGAGGCTGTGATCTGCAACGTGGACCCCCAGTCAACCGGAGCCCAAGGGCCCACCTGCCAGTACAGGGATGTGGTCTCTGGGGAGCTCTGGTTCTGTGCTCAACCCTCTACTCTGCCCTGCGACGCTTTAGTCGGTCACTCCAGTGGGAGTTACCTGAAGGTGACCACACGGCATGATGAAGAACTGATGGCTGGGTAAGACATCTAGATGCTGAATGCGTCCCAGTCCTCACCATAGCTATGTGGAGGTCAGAAGACAACTTGAGGAAGCCAGTTCTGTCCTTCCACCCTGTGGGACCAGGTATCAAACCCAGTTTGTCAGGTTTGGCAGCCAAGCCCCTTTCCTTGTGGCGGTGTTCTCACTGTTGTCATTATTTAGAGATTCCTGCAGCTCAGGGTGATCTTGTGTTCTTAGTGTGGTCCAGGGTAGGCAGAAACGTCAAGAGTTCAAGAACACCGGACAATGGTGGCACATGCCTTTAACCCCAGCAGTCGGGAGGCAGAGGCAGGTAGATTTTTGTGGGTTTGAGGCCAGCCTGGGTTACAGAGTGAGTTCTAGGACAGCCAGGGCTACACAGAGAAACCTTGTCTTGAAAAACAAACAAAACAAAACTAGTTCAAGGCCATCCTTGGCTACATAGTGAATACAAACAAGTCCAGCCTGGGACTCGTGGGCATTACAGCCTGTGTCAAAAAGGTAAGTGGGGCGGGTTGGGGAAAGGGGTATTGTGATAGTCCCTACTGCCTGTTTGTGTAATGACAATAACAAAATGAATTGTTTTTCCTAGGCTCTAGTGCCCAAGGAAACTGTAGTTTCTCATTTGCTGTGAAATTCTGTTTATTATAAAAGAGAGCTGTATGACCCTTTCAATATCTTGACTGTTAGTGAACTGATAAGGTTGTTCTCTTGCGTGTATGTTCCTCCTATTACAGTCGCCCATCAGTGCTCCCTTTAGTGTGGTGCCCTGGGATTAGGCAGAGGAGAGATAAGCAGGCATTCATGGTATGTTCTTTGCAAATCAAATTTTCACTTGGTCAACCTTCCTCAAAGTTCATGCTCAGTGTTTCTTCAGGAGTGTGACTGACCAGCCACTCCCTTCAGGCATATCTCCCATCCTGGTGACACCAGCAGCCATTGGGAACATGAGGAATATGGGTGAGTGAGTTTGGAATATGGGGGTAGGGAAGGGATGGTCATCATCTGAGATGGGTTGTGAGCTTTTTGATTTGGTGTGTGTGTGTAATGTATGTGTGTGTCTGTGTCTGTGTGGGTGGTATATAGGTGTGTGTGAAATATATCAGTATGTAAGTATGTTGTGTGTGGTATATGTGTGTATTCCTGAAATCATGTGTGTTTGTACGCGCATGTGTGTGTGTGTGCTGTATGGGTGTGGGTTCATTCTCCTGTGTGAAGTACGTGAGACCAGGCAGAGGTCAGAATGTTCTCCCCAGTTGTTCTCTATTACGTTTTATTTAACTTTAAGCTGTATTATGGTTCTTGTGCAGGGAAAGTGGTTTCAATTGGCAGTGAATTGTTAACTGGTAATGATTAGAGAAGGAAAAACTGGGGTTCTGCCAGCCCAAGGGTGGCTGGGTAGGTTGTGAACAGAACTCATGTAGGAGAGACCTAGTTCTGATTTTTTGGGCCACAGCCAGCAAGCAAGGGAGGGTCAGTGAACATATTATTGTCCATAGAGGTTCTCAGGACAATGGTTTACAGTGACCAACTGAGTGTGGCCTTTACTCACCAAGCACTCACAGTCTTCAGAGGGGCCGGCCTCTCTCTTGCTACTTCCTCAGAAGGGAAGAAATTGAAGGCATTGATGCCTCCCTCGAAGAAGTAATGGACCCTTATATCCATCATATGCCCAACCCAAAGGTGAGCCTGAAGGGAAAACAAAGAAGATCTGTAGGGTCCTCCCAGCAGCTGGGTTCAGGGTGGCACTTGAGAGTCCACATGAAAACATGTGCTTTCTCCCTCTCTTTCTCTCTTTTTCTCTCTCTGGGTGAAGTTTTTGTAGAAACTCTGCTCAGTCACTAAAGAACAATGGGCACAGTTGCTTTATGCTCTTTCTGGAGTATACCAGATACAGTGTCCCTAGAGGATGTAGGGGTGGGTCTAGAGCCTCAGGCACAAGGACACAGTGGCCAGCCACACAACCTTGGGATGCCTGTGTCCAGTCCCTTGGAGGGCTGAGGCAGAGATTGATTTTGCTTCCAGTACCCTCTAAGCCCAAAATGGATGATCACTGAGGGAGATACTTGAGTTGTTCCCAGGAGTGGGCCACCACTCATGCCAGGGAAGGGGCTGGTTGTCAGCCATCAGCGCCAGGCTGGAGGAAGGGTTCCAGGTGTATGTAGAAAGAAGAACCCAGGTAACAGGTCAATCTTCTAGAAAAGTAAACAAAAGGCCACAATATTTTTTGAGACAAAGACTCTTACCGAGCTTGCTGTTTCAGCTAGACTGACTGGGCAGTAGGCCCCTGGGATCTGCTGTCTCCACCTCCCCAGGTGCTTGGGTTCCAGGCACACTACACCCAGTGTTTACATGTGTTCTAAGAGTCAAACTTAGGCCTTCACCCTTGCACATGCCTGTACATCACCCACTGAACCAGCTCCGCAGCCCTTAGATGGGTTTTATTGTAGTTTTTAACTTTTTCCTGCCAGGGAAGTGTAGTACAGTGGTTAGTACTAGGGCTATAACAGCATACTTCTAGCCTAGCAGTACTTGCCTAGCTTGGGCAAGGCACAGGATGCTATTTCTAGCACTGATAATAAAGAAAAAAATATTTTATTGACGTTATAGTAAACATACAAACAGCTGTACATGTATAATATATACAACATCCTGAATTTACAAGTACCAACTCTTGAAGCCATCTCCACAATTCGCGATAGAAACATATCCTTCACCTCCTTGAAGCCAAACTTTAAAGCTTAAGGATATCAGGATTGATAAATGCGACAGCAAGAGGCTGGAGAGAGGGCTCCAAGGTTAGGAACTCTTGTTACTCTTCCAAAAGACCTGAGCGTTTGCCCGGCTTCATGTTGAGCAACCCACAACTGCCCGTGACTTCAGCCTGCAGGAATTCAATCCCCTTTTCTGGCTCCAGCTGGCACTGTAACACAGATGGCATACACCCAGCCACATAAATTAGAAAAAAAAAAAAAAAAAAGAACACTGTTGGGTCCACGGGGGTCACACAAAGATGAGGACAGACCACCAACATCTACTAAACCAGAAGCAAACTTTATTCCAGGAAAAAAACTTTAAAAACTAAAAAACAGGTGCTGGCGAGATGGCTCAGAGGATAAGAGCACTGGCTGCTCTTCCAGAGGTCCTGAGTTCAATTCCCAGCAACCACATGGTGGCTCACAACCATCTGTAATGAGATCTGGTGCCCTCTTCTGGCCTGCAGGCATACATGCAGACAGAATACTGTATACATAATAAATAAATCTTTTTAAAAAATTAAAAAACAAATCTCCATGGAGTACAAAAAGCTTATCAACTAGCTGAGACCACAGTCAGAGATGGATTGGTAAGGCTGTGGCAAAGGCTGGTTTTTGAACTCCTCCTTTTATAGCAAGCATTGGGTAATAGCAAAAGAAATTTTACAATCTCAAGGTAAAACTCAGATACAAATTACCCTTCTTTGCAATTTCTATTAACAGAGTTTTTCATTTAAATTAGTGTTTATATTTAGCCCATCATTTTTCCTGTCATTCCTTGATAGTGTTTACCAAGGCTCTGCACCTCCCCTGACTGCCAGTTTCGCACAGCAGGGAAGGGTAGGGGACAATATAAAACCCAAAAGTCAAAAGTCACGTACATCCCAGAATTTAAAAGCTAACTCATAATTTAAAAACTCACATCAATTTCTGGTCATGAGTGGCTGGGGGCGGGGGAGTATCTAAAAGCTGATCCTCGGTTTGCAGAGCAACCCTAAGTTTGCAGAGGGCGACTTCAGCCTTGCAAACAGAACTATGGGTTGTAAAGCGGAGTAACCCACGGTTAATAGTTAATCCTTAAACTACTGAGACAACTGCTGACCATCTGCTCTCATTCTCCTAGGCTTACAACTTTATATTTCTTTATTTCGACATTCTTATTTCTGGAATCTACATTTCTATATTCTTATTCTTGGACTCTTCAAACACTAACGGTAAATCCAGCCTCTATGGGACAGTGTGGTGCACACCGACTATTTTGGCACTCCGGAAATAAGAAGGATCAGGAGTTCAAGTCTGACCTCATCTTGTAGGCAGAGTTTTCCGTCTAGACCACCGATCAGCTCTGTCCTGCCAGCTGCTCCCCAATTAACCACACAGAGACTTGTTATTAATTATAAATTCTCAGTCGATAGCTCAGCTTATCATTAGCTAGCTTAACCCATTTCTATGAATGTATGTGCCGCCCAGAGGATGTGTTTACCTCACGTACATACTTCCTGTCCTGCTCGCTCTGCATCCCATGGCGGCTCCTCAGACCCTGACCTTCTTCTCCCCAGCATTCTCTCTGCCCTGAAAAGTCTGCCTCACCATAGGCCAATCAACATTTTATTAACAATGACAGCAACATATCTTCACAGTGTACAGAGGGATTATTCCAGAGCATCACCTAATATTGAATTCAAACTTAGACTCAAACCCAGTGCTTTGTGAACACTAGGCAATCAAGCACCTACCAGCTAAGCTGCATTCTCAAACCCTGGCACCTCCATGTTCTACTGATCCTTGCCAGCATCAGCTTTTCCCCTCTCTCTTTGGGTACCTTCTCTCTCCTTTGAAGGGACCTCTTGGGATTCAGGTTTTATCTTTGGAGGAGCAGGTTGAACAGACACTCATGCTCACCCTGCACCTTGACTCCGTATCATTTTGGCTCCCTTCAACCTTTCCTGGTGTGTAGTGGAGACAGCAGGAGCTAAGCACTGAATGCAGGCATGAATTGGTACACATCCTTGGTCTGCGTGGGGGTCATTACCATCTCTTCTTCACACTGTTTCCAATTGTTCGTTTTGAGTGGATTTTTGTATTATTCAACTGAGCTTTTTGTTATTTTGTCATTTTTAGATAGAGTCTCACAATGAAGCCCTAGCTGGCCTGGATTATGGTATGTGTAGAAGGCTGGCCTTGAACTCACAGGCATCCACCCTCTTCTGCCTTTTGAGTGTTGGTATTAAAGGCACATGCCTGCATACTTGCTGCTTTCTTTTGAAACAGGCTTGAGTAGCACAGGTTGGCCTTGAACCTATTATGTAGCCTAGGATTAAACTAGAGCATTTTTAATTGAAAAAAATTTTTACTCTGTGTGTGTGTGTGTGTGTGTGTGTGTGTGTAGCCATGCATGGCACACCAAAGGTGTGGAGGTCAGAGGGGAACTTGTAGAATTGGATTTTCTCCTTCCACCATGTGGGTTCCAGGATCAAACTCAATCAACTTTGGAGATGGAGACATCTTGATGGCTTTAAAAAATTACTTATCTGTTTATGATTATTATGTATGTGTATATGTGATGTGGATATGAGTGCACATGTGCCATGATGGGTGTGCGTGAGGTCAGAGGAGAACTCCGTGGAGGCAATTCTCACTTTCCACATTCGTGTGGGCTCTGGGGAATTGAACTGAAGTCGCCAGGCTTGCACAGTAAATGCCTTCACCACCTCAAAGTTTTTATCCTTTTCCCTCCACCTCCTGAGTTACAGGCCAGAAGCTGACAGAAATCCTTTATTCGGTGATGAGATTTGAACCCAGAGCATCAAACATACTAGGTAAGCATTCTACAATCTTGGATGCATCTCCAGCCATCTGTGTTCTTCTTTTGTTTGTTTATTTCTTTTGAGACAGGGTCTCACTACATAGCCTTGGCAGGTCTGCAACTTGCTACGTAGGCCAGACTGGCCTTGACTTCATAGACATCTGACTCTACTTCCCAAAGGCATGGCCCATCATTCTTGTTCTTTTTTTTAATTGATTTTATTGAGCTATGTATTTTTCTTTGCTCCCCCACCTTCATCTCCCCTTCCCTTCAACCCTCTTCCATGGTCCCCCTGCTCGCAATTTACTCAGGAGATCTTCTCTTTTTCTACTTCCCATGTAGTTTAGGTATGTGTAAGTCTCTCTTAGGGTCCTCTTTGTTGTCTAGGTTCACTGGGATTGTGATTTGTAGACTGGTTTCCTTTGCTTTATGTCTAAAAAACACTTATGTGTGATTACATATGATATTTGACTTTCTGGGTCTGGGTTACCTCACTCAAAATGATGTTTTTCTAGCTCCATCCATTTGCCTGTAAAATTCAAGATGTTATTTTTTTCTGCTATATAATACTCCATTGTGTAAAGGTACCACATCTTTATTATTCATTCTTCTGTCATGGAGCATTTAGGTTGTTTCCAGGTTCTGGCTATGACAAACAATGCTGCTATGAACATAGTTGAGCACATGTCCTTGTGGCACGATTGAGTATCCTTTGAATATATACCCAAAAGTGGTAGTGCTGGGTCTTGAGGAAGCTTATTTCCTAATTTTCTGAGAAATTGCCATGTTGATATCCAAAGGGATTGTACCAGCTTGCACTCCCAACAGCAATACAGAAGTACTTCCTTTTCCCCACAATCTCTCCAGCATAAGTTGTCATCAGTGTTTTTGATCTTGGCCATTCTTACAGGTGTAAAATGGAATCTCAGAGTTGTTTTGATTTGCATTTCTCTGATGACTAATGGTGTTGAACATTTCCTTAAGTGTCTTTTAGAAATTTTAGATTTCTCTGTTGAGAGTTTTCTGTTTAGGTTTGTACTTGATTTTTTTATTGGGTTATTTGTTCTTTTTATGACCAATTTCTTGAGTTCTTTGTATATTTTAGACATCTGTCTGATGCAGGGTTGGTAACGATCTTTTCCCATTCTGTAGGCTGCTGTTTTGTCTGGTTGACCATGTCCTTTGCTTTATAGAAGTTTTCAGTTTAAGGAGGTCCCATTTATTAATTATTTCTCTCAGTGTCTGAAGTTGTATTTAGGAAGAGGTCTCCTGTGCCAATGTGTTCAAGTGTACTTCCCACTTTCTCTTCTATGAGGTTCTGTGTGACTGGCTTTATGTTGTGGTCTTTGATCTATTTGGACTTGAGTTTTGTGCATGGTGATAGATATGGGTCTATTTTCATTTTTCTACATGTTGATATCCAGTTATGCCAGCACCACTTGTTAAATATGCTTTCTTTTTCCATTTGATATTTTTTGCTTCTTTATCAAAAATCAGGTATTTGTAGGTGTATAGATTAATATCTGGGTCTTCGACTGGTTCCATTGGTCCTTCTGTCTGTTTTTATGCTAATACCAGGCTGTTTTCAGGACTGTAGCTCTGTAGTAGAGTTTGAAGTCAGGGATTGTGATGCCTCCAGAAGTTCCTTTATTGTACAGTATTGTTTTGGCTATACTGGGTTTTTTGCTTTTTCATTTGAAATTGAGTACCATTCTTTCAAAGTCTGTTAAGGATTTTGCTGGGAATTACATTGAATCTGTAGATTACTTTTTGATAAGATTGCCATTTTTACTATGTTAATTCTACCTACCAAAGAGCATGGCAGATCATTTCACTTTCTGGTGTCTTCTTCAATTTCTTTCTTCAAAGATTTAAAGTTCTTGTCATACAAGTCTTCCACTTCTTTGGTTAGAGTTACTCCAAGATACTTTATGTTATTTGTGGCTATTATGAAGCGTGATGTTTCTTTGATTTCTTTCTCAGTCAATTTATCATCTGTATAAAGGAGGGCTACTGATTTTTTTTTTTTGAGTTAATCATGTATCCTGCTACATTACTGAAGGTGTTTATGAGTTGTAGAAGTTCCTTGGTAGAATTTTTGGGGTTGTAAACTATCATATCACCAGCAAATAGTGAGAGTTTGATTTCTTCTCTTCCGATTTGTATCCCCTTGATCTCCTTCTGGTATCTTGTTGCTCTAGCTAGGACCTCAAGAACTATATTGAATAGATAAGGAAAGACTGGACAACCTTGTCTTGTTCCTGATTTCAGTGAGATTGGTGGAGTTTCTCTCCATTTAGTTTGATGTTACATATTTGTTTGCTGTATATTTCTTTTATTATATTTGGGTATATTCCTTGTATCCCTGCTCTCTCCAAGACCTTTAGCATAAAGGGATGTTATATTTTGTCGAAAGCTTTTTCAGCATCTGATGAGATGATCATGTGGTTTTTATTTTTCAGTTTGTTATATGGTAGATTACGTTGACAGATTTTCATCTGCATCTCTGGGATGAAGCTGACTTGATTATAGTGGACGATGTGTCCTTGGATTCAATTTGCCAGTATTTTATTTCAAAATACTTTGGCAATGTTCCTTCTGTTTCTATTATGTGGAATAATTTGAGGAGTACTGTTATTAGTTCTACTTTGAAAAATCTTGTAGAATTCTGTGCTGAAGCCATTTGGTCCTGGGCTTTTTTTTTTTTTAGTTGTGAGACTTTTGATGACTATTTCTATTCTTTAGCAGTTAAAGGTCTATTTTATTTGCTTATCTGATCTTAATTAAATTTTAGTAAGAGATGTTTATCCAGAAAGTTGTCCATTTCCTTTAAGTTTTCCGTGGAGTACAGATTTTTGAAATATGATCTAATGATTCTCTGGATTTCCTCCATGTCTGTTGTTATGTCTCCCTTTTCATTCCTGATTTTGTTAATTTGGATATTGTCTCTCTGTCTTGTGTTTAGTTTGGATAAAGGTTTGTCTATTTTGTTGATTTTCTCAAGGAACCAACTCTTTGTCTCATTGAATCTTTGTATTGTTTTCTTTGTTTCTATTTTGTTGATTTCAGCTCTCAATTTGATTATTTCCTACTGTCTAGTTCTCCTGGTTGAGTTTGCCTCTTTTTGTTCTAAAGTTTTAAAATGTTATATTAATTTACTAGTGTGGGATTTTTTCAGTTTCTTCATATAGGCATTTAGTGCTGTGAACTTTCCTCTTAACACTGCTTTCATTGTGTCCTATAATTTTGGATATGTTATATGGTCATTTTCATTGAATTTTAGGAAGTCTTTAATTTCTCCCTTTATTTCTTCCTTGACCCATTGATGATTCAGGTGAGCATTGTTTAACTGGAATTAGGGTTGTTGTTGAATCTTAATTTTAAGCCATGGTGATCTGGTAAGATACATGGGGTTATTTCAATTTTTTTTTTTTTGCATCTGTTAAGGTTTTTTTTTTTTTTGTTACCTAATATGTGGTCAGTTTTTTGAGAATGTTCCATGAGGTGCTGAGAAGAAGGCATATTCTTTTATATTTAGATGGAATGTTCTATAGATATCTGTTAAGTTCATTTGAATCATAACATCTGTTAGTTCCCTTATTTTTCTGTGAAATTTTTGTCTGATTGACCTGTCCAGTGGTGAGAGGGGAGTGTTGAAGTCTTCCACTATTAGTGTGTGTGTGGTTCAATGTGTGATTTAAGCTTAGAGGTGTTTCTTTTACATATGAGGGTACCCTTGTATTTGGGATATAGGTATTTGATATTGAAATTTCCTCTTGATGGATTTTTCCTGTGACTAATATGAAATGTCCTTCTTTGTCTCTTTTGACTGATTTCAATTTGTTAGATATTATCTATTTTGTTAGATATTAGGATAGCTACACCAGTTTGTTTCTTAGGTCCATTTAATTGGAAAATTTTTTCCCAACCCTTTACTCTGAGGCAATGTCTGTCTTTGAGGTTGAGGTGTGTTTCTTGTACGCAGCAGAAGGATGGATTCAGTTTTCATATCCAATCTGTTAGCCTATGTCTTTTTATAGGTGAGTTGAGTTCATTTATATTAATGGATATTGATAACCAGTGATTGCTATCTCCTGTTATTATAGTTTTCGTTGCTGGTAATGTTACTTTTTGTGTTTTTCCCTTCTTTGGGATTTGCTGCTGTGAGATCATTTATTGTCTGTGGTTTTGTTGATGTAGCCAACTTCCTTGAATTGGAGTTTTCCTTCTAGTACTTTGTGTAGGGCTAGGTTTGTGGCTAGGTATTGGTTATATCTGGTTCTGTCATGGAATATCTTGTTTTGTCCTTCTATGGTAATTGAAAGTTTTGCTGGGTATAGTAGTCTGGGCTGGCATCCGTGGTCTCTTAATGTTTTCATAACGCTTGACCAGAACCTTCTGGCTTTCATCGTTTCCATTGAAAAGTCAGGTGTAATTCTGATAGGTCTGTTTTTATAAGTTATTTGATCTTTTCCCTTTGTAGCTCTTAATTTCCTTTCTTTATTCTGTATGTTTAGTGTTTTGATTTGTTGAAATAGGAGCGGCAGGGCTGCGTCCCCGGCACCCGGCCGCCCGCATGGCTAGTTTATACCCAGAAATAATTACACGGAAACTGTATTCTTTCAAACACTGCCTGGCCCGGCTAGGTCCAGTTTCTTATTGGCTAGCTCTTACATATTGTTCTAACCCATTTCTAATATTCTGTGTAGCCCATGAGCTGGCTTACCAGGGAGGATCTTAACCTGCGTCTGTCTGGAGTGGGAGCATCATGGCGACTCACTCACTCAGCTTCTTTTTCCCAGCATTCTCCTCTGTCTACTCCGCCTACCTAATTTTCTGTCCTATGAGGGCCGAGGCAGTTTCTTTATTATTAACCAATGAAATCAACAGATAAGATACAAGACCCACCTCCATCATTGATTATTATGTGGCGAGGTGACTTTTTTTTTTTAAAGATTTATTTATTTATTGTGTATACAACATTCCTTCCATGTGTGCCTGCAGGCCAGAAGAGGGCACCAGATCTGATTATAGATGGCTGTGAGCCACCATGTAGTTGCTGGGAATTGAACTCAGGACCTCTGGAAGAGCAGCCAGTGCTCTTTACCACTGAGCCATCTCTCCAGCCCCGACTTTTTTTTTTTTTTTGATCTAGTCTATTTGGTGTCCTGTAAGCTTCTTGTATCTTCATAGACACATCTTTCTTTAGGTTAGGAAAGTTTTCTTCTATGATTTTGTTAAACATATTTTCTGTGCTTTTAGTTGAACTTCTCCTTTGTCTTTACCTATTATTCTTACATTTGGTCTTTTTGTGGTGTTTGAGGTGTCCTGGATATTTTGTATTAAGTTTTGTTAGATTTAATGTTTTCTTTGACTGATGAGTCTATTTTATCTATTGTATCTTCAGTGCTTGAGATTCTGTCTTCCATCTCTTGTACTCTTCTGTTTATGCTTGTATTTGTGGTTCCTGATTGTTTTCCAATGATTTGTTTCTATAATTCCCTCAGCTTGTGTTTTCTTTATTGTCTCTACTTCTGCTTTCAAGTCTTGAATAGTTTTTTTTCATATGTTTGATTTCTTTTTCATGGTTTTCTTTAAGGGATTTGTTGATGTGTTCCAATTTTTTGTTTGTCTTTTCCTTCATTTCTTTGGGGAAATATTTCATTTCCTCTGTAAGGGTCTCAAACATTCTTCTAAAGTTACTTTTTAGGTCATTTTCTTCTGTTTTATCTGTATTTGGTTGTTCAAGTCCTGCTATTGTAGGGTCACTAGTTTTTACTGGTGTAGTGTTTCTCTTTGTGGTGTTGCGTGTGTTCTTACCTTGTCTACCCATGTTGCCCTATGATTGGTATAGTTGAGGCTGTCTGTGACTCTGATGATCAATCTTGCAGGTGCCAGTGGATCCAAGGCTCAGGTGGTTGCTCCCTGTGGTGCAGTCAGGGCCACAGTTCCAGTCACCCATTGGTCAAGCCGTGTTCCTAGACGTCGCTTGGCACCCCCGGGGTTTGCTCTGCAATAGAAGGGGTCATCCGGGCATGCTCCCACAGATATAGCTTGCTTGGGGCTTTTTCTGCTGAGGTTGCTGCCTTAGGCCTGCTCCGGGAGAGGTCCTGGCTCAGCACCTCTTTCTTCCTCTGCAGTTCCGGGTTCTCACAGGGACCAGCAGAGGTCCTGGCTCAGGCCTACTCCCTCAGTGGTTGCTCCCTTGTATCTGCTCCTGTAGAGTTCGCTGTCTCAGGCCTGGGCCAACCTAGGTCTCTGGCTCAGTCCTCTTTCCTTAAGTGTCCCTGGTCTGGGTCCACTCCTACTGAGGCACCTGGCTTGGGCTTGCTCCCTCAAAGGTCTCTGGCTGCGGTCTACTCCCTCAGAGGTTCCAGACTTATGCCTGGATCTGCAGAGGTTTCTGGTTCCGGCCTACTCCCTCAATGGTTGCTCCCTTGTACCTGGTCCTGTGGAGTTTGCTGCAGTCCTGCTCAGGCCTAGGTTGCTGGCTCAGACCTGTTTTCTTAAATGTCCCTGGTCTGGGTCTGCTTCTGCCAAGGTCCCTGACTTGGGCTTGGTCCTGCAAAGGACTCTGACTCCAATCTACTCCCTTGGAGGTCACAGACTCATGCCCGGACCTGCAGGTCTCTGGTTCCTGCTTCCATCATCCTTGTTCTTAATCACAGCAAATCACTTAACATTCTAGGATCTCAGCATCCCCATTTGTAAGTGAAGACATAAATAGCGCTACATCCTGAGTGTGGAGGCAAACACCTGTCGTCCCAGCACTCTAGAGGTCAAGGCAGGAGGTTTAGGAAGTCAAGGCCGTTCTCTGGTACTTAGGAAGTTTAAGGCAATCATGAGCTACACTCATTGGAAACACTCATGTGTGCTCCTGAGCATACACACATGCACACCATAATAGAACTTCACAGGCTCTGTAAGAGTGCATTGATAAGCTACACATAGAGTATGCAGAACCATGCCTGACTAGATCGTTGAAATGGCTCAATGCGCAAAGTATCTTTGCTTTCCCTTGGCCAAGGCTGATGACCTGAGTTCAAACCCTGGGACATATACAGTGAAAGAACCGATTTCCAAAAGCTGCCCTCTGACTGCTACATGTGTGCTGTGTACACCCACACACAAACAAGTGTGAATGAAAATTAGTTTACAAAAAAATTGTAAAGAATGCCTGATATTTTGTAAGATGCTCATGCTCTGTTTGTTTTTTAATCTGCTTTTCTCCCTCCTATATAGCCCTGCCCTCTCGGCCCCCATGCCGCCCTGGCCACCTGTCTCCAAAACCCTCTGGCTTCTACTACCAAGACAGATGGCACTCAACGTTCTGTTCTAGCCGCTCCTTCCCCACTGTGTTCAGCATCCTGAACTGCCTGGCTGGCCGCATCGTCTACATGATGGGGGATTCCACCCTTCGGCAGTGGTGGGAGTATCTGCGAGACACAGTGCCCTGTGAGTGGCCATGGGGTCAGAGGAGGGCCTGTGAGGACTCATGATGGGAAAGTCAGGCAACACTTACATTGAAGGAGGAGACTCTCATGCTTGGTAGAAAGGTAGGGCAGGATGCTGGACTTTCCCGAAAGGCAGGTGAGTGAATGAAGGAGTGGGATGTTTTGCTTTGTTCTATGAGACAGGGTCTTACTAAGTACTCCTGGTTGACCTGGCACCCACTGTGGTTATCAGTCTGGCTTCAAACTCAGAAAATCCACCTACCTGAGCATCCTGAGTGCTAGAATTAAAGGCATACCCCACCAAGCCCAGCTAGGGGTTAGTTATAAAAATTGTGTGTGTGTGTGTGTGTGTATGTGTGTGTGTGTGTGTGTGTGTGTGTGTGTAGGCAGTCTCATGTATCCCAGGCTGTCCCGGAATTCCATATGTAGCCAAGGATAACTGTTGTGATATTTTGTTCATGTTCTGATGAATAAAACTTGTCTGAAGATCAGAGGGTGGAGCTAACCACTGGTTAACAATAGAGGTATGGAGATCTGTACAGGCAGGAGACAGGAAGTGATACGGCTGGGCAGAGAGAGAAAGTGGTAAGGTAGGGCATAGACAGGATCTCAGCCCTTTTTCTATCTGAGGATTTAGAGAGGTTAGAGGTGACTGTGGCTGTTCCTTTGCTTCTCTGATCATTCAGCTTTAACCCTGATATATGACTCCAGGTTTTTATTCTTAAGACTAATTAGAATTATGCTTCAGATGACCTTGTAGTTCTGATCCTCCTGTCTCCCCTCGCACGTGTTGAAATTCCAGGGATATGCTACATACACCCAGCTTGGAATATTTCAGATATAACTTGGGGATTGCATGCTAGGCAAGCTCGCTACTAGCCAAACTATATCCCAGCCTGCAAGAATGACATTATAACCAGGGAGTTGCCTTCCTTTTTAGTTAGCCAGAGATCATGAAAATAGCTAAAGGACAGTGCAACAAACCTTTCAACAATGCAGTGGTTGATGATCCAAAAGAGTCATCTTGAGTTTCTACCTAACATCATCAATCAGCTTCTTGTGTATATGTGTGTGTGCATGTGAATATGTGTGTATATGTTCATGTGTGCGTATGTTCACATGTGTGTGCATGTGCCCATTTGTGTAAATCCACATGTGTTTGTGTGCGAAAGGGGAGGACCAAAAACAATTTCTGCTGTCATTCTTAGATACAGCCTGCTATGTTTTATTTTTTTATTACTATTGTGTGTGTCTGTAATAAGTGTGTGCAAGGCTGTGTACATGTCATGGAACATGTGTAGATGTCAGAGAATAGCTTCCAGAAGTCGCTTCTTTCCTCCCAGGGATGGAGCTCAGGTGGTCAGGCTTGCACAGAAGGCACCTTTACCTAATGAGTCATCTCACTAGCCCTACCCTCACTAGGAACAAGCACTCTATGCACTGAGCCACAGGCCTTGCCATCTTTGGATCATGGTAAAATACTGAAGATGCTAGGGTCTCAGTGTCCCTACCTAAAAGTGGAGCTAGAAATACTTCTTCAACCCGAGAGTGGTAGTGCACACATATAGTCCTAGCACTCTGGAGATAGAGGCAGGGATTTAGGAAGTCAAGGTCATTCTCAGCTACAAAGAAGGTTAAAGTCTAGCATGAGCTACGTAAGATTTTTGTCTTAAATGCTAGTGTGCTCATTCACACACACACACACACACACACACTTTATAACAGAATATATTTGAGACAAGTTCTCTCTTTAGCCTAGAAGTTTCCAAATGGCAAGGAAACTGAACTTGACTGTTCATCAAGCCCAAGAATCCTATCTATACCTTGCTAGCTCTAGAGTTACAACCACAAGACACCATGTCTGATTCTTTTAAAATATGGGATCTGGGAATCACACTCAGGTCTTCATACTTGTATAGCAACTCTCTAGAATTGAGCAACACTCCAGTGTGTCACTAGAGGATTATAGGCAGGTACTCTACCACTTGTCACCCCTCTTCCGGTGCCTGTTGGGAGATTTTAGGCCAGAGCTCTACCACTGAGCCATGCCCCAGCCACACCCAAGTGTTGAGCACTAGCCTCTGATGATCCAGGAAGGGCTAGGGGAGTGTAACTCAGTAGTGGGGTGCTTGTCTAGCACCCGAGAGGCCTGGATTCTGCTCCCCTCACCCTCAGAAGAAAAGAAGGAATAAGTAGCATGATCGTGAGTACAAGGATAATATACAGGGCCTAGAGAGGTAACTCCATGGTTGAGGGCACTGGCTGCTCTTTCAGAGGACCCAGGTTCAATTCCCAGCACCCGCATGGCAGCTTGCAAACTCCAGCTCCAGGGGATCTGACACCCTCATGGAGACATACATGCAGGCAAAATACCAATGAATACAAAATAAGAATAAATCATGTGCCTGTTTCAAAATGGTCACAGACAGTGACTCACAGCTGCTCATTACTCAAGCACCAGAGAATCTTTGGGTAGCTGCACTTACTTGCACACACACAAACATACACATAATTTAAAAAATTCAAAACAGCCAAGTGTGGTATGTAACATCTCCCAGGATCTGGGAGGCAGAAGCAGGTAGCTCTCTGTGAATTTGAAACTAGCCTGGTCTAGCCTGTTCAGGTCAGCCAAGGCTACATAGGGAGACCTTGTCTCAAAAACTAAGGTAGAGGGCTGGAGAGATGGCTCAGAGGTTAAGAGCACTGACTTTCCTTCCAGAGGTCCTGAGTTCAATTCCCAGCAACCACATGGTGGCTCACAACCATCTGTAATGAGATCTGGTGCCCTCTTCTGGCATGTAGGCACACATGCAGNGTATATATACACACATATATATACACACATATATATACACACACATATATATACACACACATATATATACACACATATATATACACATATATATACACGCATATATACACACACATATATATATACACACACAAACATATATATACACACACACATATACACACACACACTGTAGTGTTGCACACCTTTAATGTTCCCAATCTGGAAACAGATACGAGCAGACTTGTGACCTCAAGGTCAACCTGGTCTGCATAGAGAGTTTTGGGCCAGCCAGGGCTACACAGTGAGACCTTGTTCCCCACCCCCAAAAGTAGGAATGTATACTTGTACAAGAAGATAATTGACAATTCAGCTATTAAATTTTCATAACACTTGTTTATTTGGCGTCTATATGAACAATCATTGCTACCATGTGTGTGAGGGGATCCTAGGACAATGTACAAGAGCTGTTTCCCTCCTCCCACCCTATGAATCTTAGGGGTTCAAACTCAAGGCACCAGGGCTGTCATCTGAGACACCTTCCTGATCCCCTATGTTAATATTTTCTTTCTCCTCCTCCCGACAGCTCTGAAGCCAGTTGATCTACATGTCCAATATCAGGCAGGTCCCCTGATGGCTGTGGACACAACTCGGGGGACAGTTTTGCACTGGAGGGCCCACAGCTGGCCCCTGCGCTCTCTTCGCACTCCAGTGGCCTCCTTGCACTCTGTGGCCAGAGTTCTGCATGGCCTGGCCGGGGGTCCCTACACAGTGGTGGTGCTCGGTATGGGAGCCCACTTCACCACCTTCCCTCCATCCATCTTTGCTCGAAGACTGGCAGGGATTCGGGAAGCTGTGAAAGCCCTGCTGGACAGGGAACCCAGTACTCTGGTGGTTATCAAACTGGCCAATACTGGCTACAAATCCGTGTATGGCAGTGACTGGCTCACAATTCAGGTGAACAGGTTCCTCCGAGCTGCCTTTGATGGTCTCCAAGTGGCCTTTGTGGATGCATGGGAAATGACCTCCAGCTTGGCTATACCGGACGACATCCACCCAACAAGGCTTATTGTTCGCAACGAAGTGGAATTATTCCTGTCCTTCATCTGTCCCACCTGAGTGCTCCTGAGGGACCTGAGAATGAATGGAGGCAGAGCCTGAGTGGGGGCCATCAAAAAGATGGACAGCAAATGATGGGTAGCTGAGGCTATCCCTGGCTCACCCGCTATAACACTCGGGTCTCCATATTTGATACATCTTTCTATGGACCACACGGATAAGTCTAATTTTATATAAATGAGATGATATTTTACACAGTGTCTTCTACTTAATGGGTTGTGGTTGTATATGGTGAACCCGGATCTAGGCTGGCAGCCAGGAAGGGTCACTAATCCTTTTGTGTCTGTCACCCACAGCCCTGGGCTTATAGCATAAGTTCTTATCGGTTTTTTTATGTGGTGTTGGAGCTTCAAACTCAGACCCTGATGTTTGTGCCCTTATCCACTGAACTATCCCAAATCATACCTTCGCTTCCTTGCTCCAGCTTCCCGAGTGCTGTGATTACAGCCACACAACCACCCTGTCTACCGCCAGCTTATGTTTTATGTTTAATTAGATTAATAACAGATTTTGCAGTCCATGAGCAAGAATGCAGATCCCTTGCACTTTGCACCTATAGCTTCCCCCAATGATAACAGCTTGCAGAACTGTGTGTAGTCAGCTATCACAACCATGATGGGAATGTGGGGAAAAGCTAAGCGTTTTATCCAGATGTTTCTACTTTTGTGTATGTTTTTCAAGACAGGGTCTGTTTGTGTAGCTTTGAAGCCTGTTCTGGAACTCTTTCTGTAGAACAATCTGACTTTGAACTCACTGAGATCCACTTGCCTCTGCCTTCCAAGTGCTGGGATGGAAGGCATGCGCCACCACCGCCCAATTGATGTTGCGACTTTTCATGGTCTATTGTCTAGCTGACCTGGCACTAGAGGGATAGCAAGTAACCTCCACTAGCCATAAAATCCTGCTCTGGCTCTGGAGCTTTCACACACCGCCCCTAGAGCTTCCTTTGTGTTACAAATGCCTTTTGTTGTCCTGTGTGAACTCTTGACTGAGTGTTTCCCATGGATACAAGAGCTTCCTTTAAAGGAAACCCAAACACCTTGGCACCTCATGAATCAGGTATTTGCACCTGGCATTGTATCGTCAGAGGCTCCTATCAGTTTGTTTTGAGATATGGAAATCTTCTAGCTAAAGTGTAAATATAGGAAAAAATAAAGATGCTGGGAGGTGAAGGGAAGGCTCCTCAGTTCACGAAGACTGAGCTCTACCACTGAGCCACACCCCAGCCCCTCCCTGGAGGATTCTAGGCAGGGGCTCTACCACTGAGCCACACCCCAGCCCCTCACTGGGGGATTCTAGGCAGAAATTTTACCACAGAGCCACACCCCAGCTGCACACTAGAGTGTGAAGGGTATGTAATACACAGGAGCTGCATCAAGACAGGGTTAAAGTACTAGTGACTCTCTGGAAAGAACTCAAGACCAAATTAGAAGAAATATAAAACAAAGTATCTCATTTAACTTAAATTAAGATTTAAGATAAGGGGCTGGAGAGAGAGCTCAGAAGTTAAGAGCATTGAGTGTTCTCCCAGAGTATTATTCCTTTTAAAACGGCGGCGGGGCGGGCGCGGGTGTGTGGACAAACACAGGATAGACGGACGCAAAGGAAGAGATGGACACGCGGCTCCCACGTGGGTGCGCTTTAATGGGGAGAGGGGAACACGATAAGGGGTGGGACGTGCAAGACACACAAGGGTAAAGGGAAAAGGACCAAGGGAGCAAGAGAGCGAAACCTCGTGGAGCGCTCGCTTTTAACTGGGGGCGCAAGGTTATCTGGGAGTAATGGTCTTCACCTGGGCGCGCCAGCGCGCACAGGTGACGGTAATCCAGGAGAAGTCTGGGAGCTGTAGTTTCCAAGGAATAACACAGAGGACCTGGGTTCAGTTTCCACCACCCACATGGCAGTTCACAACTGTCTGTAATTTCAGTGTAGTATGACACCCTCACACAGATACATGCAGGCAAACATCATAAAATTAACAACGAAAAGATTTAAGTTAAATCTCATTTAACTTTACCTTCTCGAAGTCAGGATTTCCAAACACAGACCTGTCAGTGGTTAGAGTTTCGATGTCTAAAGTTAGGGAGACAAGCAAAGCCACACAAAAGATAAGGTGAGAACATTTCCTGGACTCCAGTATAGCTGCACTGTGGACACTTGTGTGTGTAAGAAAGAAGAATGGTCCATTTCCAAAGGAGACATGCGACAGCTTAGGTCCAGACAACAATGATAACAGGACCCCAGGACCCTGCTAACATGTGCTAATCTAACTAGCCCTCCACACTAGCATGTGCTAATCTAACTAGCCCTCCACACTAGCATGTGCTAATCTAACTAGCCCTCCACAAACTAAAGGGTTGGAAGAAAAAAAGTAAATGATTGGAGCAGGAGCGATGACTCCGTGGTCTCGAGCACTGGCTACTCTTTCAGGCCAAATTTGATTCCCAGCACCGTCAAGATGGCTTGTAACTGTTTGGTTGGAAGCTCCACCCCAGCCCCCTCCCCTGGGAGTTGCCACAATCCAGACTCCACCTCCAAGAAAGCCCGCCAAATGGTGACCCCTCCGCAGAGAGGGTCAAGACCACTCTCACAGGGTATTTAAACTGTCCCCCACAGGACGAACGTGTTGTCTTTCCAGTTCTCCTTTCCCCCTCAATGCCCCCTCGGTCTCTCTGCCAAGGGGGCCTTACAGCCCCCACCCCTACCCCATCCACTCCCCCACTCCCCCCACCCCTGGAAGAGCTGGCATCCATTAAACCTGGGCTTTTTCTAATTCAGTTTGATTTGGTCTAATTTTGATTATGGCTTTGGCAGAGAGGCTTATCCGGCCATAAAACTTTACAATAACCATCTCCAGTTCCAGGAGACCTGACACCCTTTTCTTGCCTCCACAGGCCTTGCATACAGGTGGTGCATATACGTACAGGCAAAATGTTCATACACACACTGCCAACTAAATAAATCTAATTTTTAAAAAATTAATCAATGTCTGCTTGCCTGCAGACTTGACAAAGTCATGACAAATCCTTATAATAAGTGGGTTGGGGGCTGAAGAGATTGCTCAGTGATTGAGTGATTGCTTCTCTCTGGCAGAGGACTCCAGTTTGGTGGGCACTGTACAACACCTAGTAACTCCAGTTCCAATGGAAACAATGGCCTCTTCTGGCCTCCATTGGCATAGGCACCTGCACACATATAGCATACATTCACATAGATACACACACCTACAAAAGAACAAAAAATAAAAATAAAGCTAGTTGTGGCAGTGCATATCTTTAATCCCAGCACTTAGAAGGCAGAGGCAGGTGGATCTCTGAATTCTAGGCCAGCCTGGTTCTACAAAGTGAGTTCCAGGTCAGCCATGGCTACACAGCGAAACCCTGCCCAAAATAATAATAATAATAATAATAATAATAATAATAATAATAATAATAATAATGTGAAATCAAGTATTTAAAACAATACTAAATAAATAAATATATATAGCATAGAGATGAACCCATGCATTCATTAAGAAATAAACAAGCAGCTGAGCCGCGGTGGCGCACACCTTTAATCCCAGCACTAGGGAGGTAGAGGCAGGCGGATCTCTGTGAGTTCCAGGCCAGCCTGGTCTACAAGAGCTAGTTCCAGGAAAGGCTCCACAGCTACAGAGAAACCTTGTCTCGAAAAAAAACAGAAAAAAAATAGAAAAAAAGAAATGGACAAATAAGACAGGCGTGGTGGTGCACACTTTAAATTCCAACACAAAGGAGGCAGAGGAAGGTAGACTTCAGTGAGTTCAAGGTCAACCTGGTCTACATAGTCAGTTTCGGGAAAATCAGGGGTACATAGAGATACTCTGTCTCAAAACATACAGAAAGAAGAATAAGAAGAGGAAAAAGAAAGGGAGGAGCAGGAAGAGGAGTCAAAGATGTGTGGCAGAGAGAAAAGTAAGACCCAGTATATTATTCAGGGTTCTCTTGAGTAAAGTAACAAAATTTATAGACTGAATGTGTGTTGGTGTGGGACAATTCTATATTCTGTAAATTATGTTTTAAATAATCGCTGATTGGCCAGTAACCAGGCAGGAAGTGTAGGTGGGACTACCAGACAGGAATTAGAAGCAGGTCAATGAGAACAGGAGAATTCTGGGAAGGAGGAAACCCATTTCTGCCCAGTCCTGTCCAGACACTGAAGAAGCAGGATGTTACCTGCCCCTCTGAAAAAAGTACTGAGCCATGTGGCTAACATAGATGAGAATAATGGGTTAATATAAGTTATAAGAGCTAATACAAAGCCTGAGTTATGGGCCAATTAGTTTATATCTAATGTGTGTGTGCATGTATGTATATGTGTGTGTATATCTATGTACATGTATGTATGTGTGTGTGATTTAGATGCATATATATATATACACATAGGGAATTTATTAGAATGACTTACAAGCTGTGACTTACAGTGTAGTGAATTACAATGGCTGCTGATGAATGGAAGGTCCAAGAATCCAGTAGCTGTTCAGTCCACTAGGCTGGATGTCTCAGATGGTCTTCAGTAAACACTAGACTTGCAAGGAAGTAGGTTCTACCAGTGAAGGAATAAATGGACTTGCCAATGAGGCAGGAGCAAGCAAGCAAAGAGCAAAGGCTTCCTTCTTCCATGTTCTTATATAGACTTCCAGCAGAAGGCATGGACCTGAATAGAGGTGGGTCTCGTCACCTCAAAAGATCTGGATTAAAAGTATGTCTTCCCACTGCGAAGATCTGAATTAAAAGTGCATCTTTCCACTTAAGTAATCAAAAGTCCCTCATAGGTGTGCCCCTTCATTTTGGGGTTTCAGTTAATTCCAGAGATAGTGAAGTTGACAAGCAAAAATAGCCATCACACTCCCCAAACTCCTTTTTAGTCATGGCGTTTTATCACAGGAATAGAAGCCATAAATAAAATGGGTGGAAATGGATTGTTTCATGTTGGGGAATTGTGGGCCAGCACAACCAGCATGCCCTTGAACTCTTGATTCTATTCCTCCTTCTTCCTCTCTTGCAGGTTGGAATTACAGGTCAGTGCTATCATATCTGGGGCTGGGTACCCACCGAGAAGACTAAATGGACTCGGGTTTAAGCCAATGGAAAGTCTTTATTAGCTGACTGGGGAATGTGCTGGGGGTTTGGGATCCCAGTGTAGCCTTGAGTCTTTCTAAGGGTGAGCTTTAAAGC